GTATAGTGTGTGCACATGGGACCAAAGCATCTCATAGGACATCTGGGGTTGCAGTCCTGGGGATATGGAAAAGCATAATCTTTCACTTCATCATACCATGGTTTGACCAACTGGAGAATAGAGCGGTATCTAGAGAAAAAGGGGGGAAAAAACACAAAAGAACTTAGAGTACAGCAGGGGTAATATATAGCAGACTCACTAAATTGCAAATTAATTTAATAATTTCTGCAGATTATTCATGACTATTCAAGAGCATAGCCACCCCTCAAAATTACCATCACCGCCTAGTACAGTCCTCTAATCCTCCAAACAGGGCTAACCGTGAAAATGCCTGGTATGAGAGCAGGTGATTCCATATTTGTCTAAATTTGTGTGTGATCATTTCAAAACAAGAAAATGCAAACATCGCAGGAATCACCGATTTCTTATGTAATCCATAAGAAACATTTTAATAAATTAAACTGATTAATACGTAAGGAAAAAATGAAATGAGTTTTACTTTTGTGACTCCTCTTACATATGTAACTTTGGATTGCTTATACAATTCTGATAGGGGAAATAATAGCACTCTTGAGTGTTCTTCCCCATGTGGAGGAGAATGGGTCTTTGGAATGTTGCATAATGACATTCTACCGTGGTAGAACAATTATCTTCTCAATGAGAATCTCTTTTCCCATAATAGCACACACCTGCGTGCGTACATTCTGTAATTTATTTACATACTTCTATGCAAATGTATGCAACTATGGGATGGTTGCACACACACAGTTTCTGCCAGAGTCATGAGAATTTTTCCAGGGGTAGAAATGACAGGACACAGTACATGCTTGATCTTTTGTAAAATTCTGTGAGGTCAATGAAAAATTCAGGCTAAGGGAGGGTGTTTGAAGGGTGAAAGACAAAACTGGATTTAGTAGGCCAGTTGGATCATTCTTGAAGACATCTAAAATACAGACAAAGCAACAGCACTTCACTCACAGTGACCACTGAGTACATATTAGCTGACATTACTAGACATTGGTATCATCCCTTCTTGGAGTCATGAAGATGAACTGCGCCAATGAAACTACATCCTACCTTCCAGTTCGTACAGATAGATTTTGGCCAAAATATCTCAGTAAGTAAGAAGGTCCGTGGTCCCAAATGCAAGTAGCCGCCCAAGCCTCTGCAGATTTTGCAAGATTTTCATCCCAGACCTGTAGGGGTAAAAAACCTTCAGCTTTACTGGGTTTGCTAGTAACAAAAAAAGTAAGAGGAAAGAAATAATGGTACTATTTCCTAGAGTCTGTTCAATTATGGTGCCTGAGACTATTTTAACTAAAAGAAAAACATATTCAGAACACTGTACTCAAAGTTCTATAATGCAATATGGTTCTGCTACAAGAAAACCTCTTTACAGTGTTATCTAGACCCAACATTCAGACATCAGCTGTAGTAAAGAATACGTTGCCAAGCATACTATACCTACTGTAGTGGTGAACTTGGGAACATCTCATACCTATCACTGAAATTTGAATCTAACAAAGTCAGGCGGTGATCCTAAAAGTCATTTCCACCTTAACAAAGAGCTATACTATTGTATATTTTAAAAAATATATAATCAAATTGATTTACGAAAATTAATAATGTCTAATATTATATTGCAACTTTTAAAAGCCAAACTGTTTTACTGTATAATAAATCCCATGCATCCTTCATATGTTATGTCCTTTGAATCTGTAATAGTAATAGCAACAATATTAGAATTTACACTTTAAGTTGGTATGAACTGCAAGCAAACTATGATCAAAATTAACTTGATAGGCTGGGCCCAGTGGCTAATGCCTATAATCTAAGCACTCTCAGAGGCTGAGGAAGGTGGATTGCTTGAGCTGAGGAGTTTGGGACCATCCTGAGCAAAAGTGAGACCCCGTCTCTGCTAAAAATAGAAAAAACCAAGACTAGAGGATCTCTTGAGCCCAAGAGTTGGAGGTTGCTGTGAGCTATGATGTCACAGCACTCTATCCAGGTGACAGCTTGAGACTTTGTCAAAAAAATAAAATTAACTTGATAATGCTATATAGGGTGTTATAAAAATCTAGTGCATTATGGCTCAATAAAATAAACTAAGAAAAATAGTAACTATTGTCCTTAGAAAGGGCAGCTAAGTTAATAAGGTAGCTAGTAAATTTTCTTAAATTGAAAAAAATTGTGAAACATATTAGAATGAGCCTTATATTTAACACACGTTCATATTAGTTACCATTAGATTGACAAGTTCATTTCCATAGCTGTGTGGGGAAATCAAGCTCAAATGTGTGGATCTGCCAATAATGAGTCAGCGTGGAAAGGTTATCTATTTCCTAGTGAATTACCAGATACGGAAGTACAAAATAGAGAATATTTATCATTGTTACACACAACTAAAGAAAGAAAAATTTTTTAAAGTTCTTCCTTGTGGGAGTATTATTTAGTGATGTATTTATCTGTTGACAAAAATTATTTTTAAATTGCATTTATAATACTTATATGTTATTCTATATGAAAAAATTGTACTCAGATTGTGAGGAGATGACGATCAGATTATTCTAGAAAGTACATCATTAAAGAAGGAAGTGATGGCTTTATAATTACTCAAATTTATAAGGGGCTCCATATACGATGAATAAATGGCCTTCTGCTGGTCTTTATTTCCCTTCTTTTTGGAGCCTCCCTCATTTTATCATTCTTTTGGTGACTTTCCCCTCCATCAGGTTGTGTGAAGCTATGTAAGCGTTAATACTGTGACTTTTAGGGTTTTGAGCAAACTCATGAAACTGCTTGATCACAGGAGTGAAAGGTCTTTATTTTCCCCAAAGATAATGAGTTACATAGATTTACCTGATACAATAATGTATTTAAGTGAAATGAAATTAATTTACTGACTTAGAAACGTAATAATAAAAAACACAAAATACTACTTGATCTCACAGTTCGGCACCCATAGCTCAGTG